GAAGCTAAAACCTAATATTTCACCATGTACAAAAGAGAAAATACTTACATACTAGATGTTAATGGTGTCAGTTACACCCTGAGGGTAACATGTACTAAGCTACAGACGACTGGGGAAAACTTGTTTAGGGTATGTTGTTGAAATGATTACCTGCTACAAATTCATACAGTGGTGCTTCACTGCTGCTTCGCCTGTGGTTTTATGTGTTTGTGCAAGGAGGATCAGTCAGGTGGTTGAGTTAAGAGAACTAAAAACTACTGTCAGATACAACAGTTGTTGTTTGCCGACTTCCCTCACATATGTGTGTTAATGTATGTCTCTGCTGCTTAGACAGGAATGCATGGAACACGATCCTGGGGAAACCAGCTAGTCTGGAAAAGGATGTAACTGCGGAGACTCCACAGGGATACCGCAAGATTTTTCCACTTCCAAAAGTGTGATTATATGGTAAAGTACCTTATACAATAGCTAGTTGGGACGAGGAGTGGCTACATGAAGAACTGCTTCACCCAAGTAGAAATTGCACAGTCGAATCTATCAGTCAATAATCAATTCAGATTTACAGACAACTCAAGGCGGTTTTCTGTGCCTCCAAACACACTAAGATCAGCTGCACAGAGTGTAAAATGAGCACAAGGCAACTGTGTAACACTCTCAGGTGTTTTTTCATGCAGGTGTGACTCAACATCAGGCTTGATGAACGAGGCATACCAGCCAAATCTGCTTATTCACATATACACCTCCTCAGTTTTCCCACACACTCTTCTATTAACATGTAAATTACACTTCTTCGTGGCAAATGCATTTAGAAGCTTTACAATACTGTCTATTAGTAGGAGCATAACAGAATCATAATATGAGAAATCACAATATCAGGATACAAACATAAAAAGTAATGTACTTAAATTGAGAAACTGTGTATTTATGAAAACAACCAGATGAGAATATTGATGAATCAAATACCTTTAAAGGTCTGTTCTGAGGCATTTTACCATATTGATGCAAAGGTCTTAACTATTAAACCTAAAATATCCAATGATGTACACAGTGTTCCAATCTATACTGACCTTTAAAATGTTGTAACCGCTCATGTAGACCTACAGTTACTCACATGCAATCTGAGTATGTTTTTGTTAAAGGTTAAAGTATCAGTTAAAGGTTAAATGCTCTTGCTGCAGCTCGCATGTTAAAGTCGGACATAACTAATAATCACACTCTCCTGCAGCAGTATTGGGGCTTGAGTAAATTCACAGCAGCACAAAGTGAATTTCAGGAAGCAACACGTTATCTTTTTTCCCCTCAAGGCACAAAGTGATGAAACTGACAAACAAAAACTCAGCTCTTTGCAGTCTCTTTCACAAATAAAAAGTTGGATTATGCTAATTCTAGCTTCTGGTGTGTACTTACAAGACACTTAGGGAGACTTCTTCAAAGTTGACATTGCAGTTTCCAATTGTTTTAGGATTGATTTTAAAATATTGCTGATGACTTTCAAGGAAGTGCATGGTTTCGCACAAAGCTTCTTGGCTGAGCTTCTAACTCAATACTCACCAAAACCAAAGCCTGAGAACTCTCCATAGGAACCTGTTAGATATTCCTCGTTCAAGACTGAAAAACCAAAAATGACAGGGCCTTTGTCGTCATCAAAATCATCTGGAATAGTTTCGCTGAGGAACCCGTACCTGAAATATCTGTTTACATCTCTCCTCACTTACTTTTACTTGATTGTTTTAAGCAATAACGTGTTTATTTTATCCTTTAAATCATGTTTACTTCAACTTTTGTCCTTGATTTTAGATTTGGTAGTATACAATTTGCTGTCTTGAATGCTATTGTATTATTTTGGTTGTAGCCTTTGACATACTGTACTTTAGTATTGGTCCTCTTTGTAACAGCAGTTTTGAAATGTACTGAACATGCATTATTAGTATCATTAATATTATTTTTCTGCAGAATCCTGTCAACTTACATAACTGAATTCACCACGACCATCACAGCGACATCTCTTCGCAGAATCCGAGCTTATATAACGCAGCAGTCTCCCACAGTATTTATAAGTATCTTAATCCATTAACAGCTACAGGATGCTGTGTAGTAGCACTAAGTCTAAATGGGTTTATTTTTACCATGACTAGCTCCACGGAAACACAGGCACCACCAGCGTCCACAGATGAGCGAGTGCGGCATCGATCGTGGTTCACCATGAACTCTAGTAACCCCTCCGTCTCGACGTTAGCTTAGCAGCATAAACACTGCAGCACATTGCTAATCGGGCTGGTGTGAACGCAGCAGTATAACAATAATCATGACAATAACAATATAAAGGACTGTCTTTAGAGGGAGGTGCAGCTGTAAAGGTGAACATGTGGCGTGGGGACGGTGATCTAGCGGACAGCTGCCATCAATTCAAAGCTAACGTGGCCAGCTAGCATCAAGCTAGCTATTGTCAACAACCGAGCAACACTTCAACACACCGGGAAACACAAACACAAACCCGCGGGGTGAGCTCGGTTATAATGAGGCGGAGACCCTCCGGTCCACACACATGACACAAGCATGATGCTAAAGGCAGCTAACTCCAAAGTAGCTACTGAAGATTAGCGCAAACCGCTCCCCCCCCTCATCCGAGCCACTAAGTCCAACTGTAGCCTGGCTAACAAGCGGCCGGCCAAGGCTAACAAGTGAAATACAGGAGAACTTACGTCGGAGGAACGATGTTCGGTGTGTGTGCGACGGTCTCGGGATACTTTTCGGGTCGGATATCGACCATTTTAACTCGGCACCGCCCGAGTTAACGGTCCTGTCGGTGGAAGCGTCTCACACTCGAAGGATGCGGCCCAACCGCTCCTCTCACCTAGCGGCCATTATCCGGAGTACCGAGCAGGATGTACTGAGCATGCGCACTACAGACTGCCCGCTGTTTAGTTATCTATCTATTTATCTATCT